AGCCAACCTTTGCTTCGAGAAAAGCGTCAACAAAGTCATCAAATGTTCCATTTGCGAACTCCGTTGCGGGACTTTCTCGTATCAGATAGTAGCACGATACGCAACAATCCCAGGAGTTTCGTGCGACGTAAATGTACTTGGCCTACTCGCTGAGGCGAAGTTTGCTCATGGAGAAATGTGTCCGCAGGAGTCTGGGGGATGCGGTCGTCTTGACTTCTTTGACTTCGAGGAAAGGCGCCTTTTCCAGGAATTCATTGAACATTTCCACCGACACTCATTGGACAATATCAGTTGAATGATCTGCTGCACCCAGTGTGTCCCGGATCTGGGGTAGGTTACCTGGACCCACAAGAAAACGACATAAAAAGAAGAGGTTCAGCAAATTGTTAACGAGAAACTTAAACACGAAGATACGAAAACATCTGCTGGAGTTACCCAGAATAACCCAATGAGTTGATCATTCCGAGGTGAGCATGTAAAATGGTAAGCCATGGTCAAATGATTATATTATCAAAATAAATTCAAGTGCAAAAAGGCAAGGATCTTAAAAAAAAGGAAGACAGGACAAGCGCTGTCTTCTACTAATCATCCATCTCATTCTCCATCCCATTTTACAAGGTCTTGTCCTTTTTTAGTTTGTTCCAACGTGTGCAATAAATGAGACCGTCAGGTCATTCTGAGTTATGTATAGTTGGTTGTATAAAATGAATACCAGTTTAACTTTCTCACCAACGAAAAAGCAGGTATATTTATTTTTTTATACAATCTTTACGTTAAAAAAAAAAAAAAAAAGAAAACGCTTTTGATTACGTTTACATGTCCTTTCTTTCGAAGACCACTTTTTTAATTCCGAACTGAGAGTCACGTGTGCGCGACATGTCCAACGCTGTCGAGAAAGCCACCGGTTAAATATGGGCTCGTATTCGTTGGCTCTGTATAATCTAGAGGCAGACTCGAAATCTTGCTGCGAAAAGTTAGTCTAGCATGTAGTAAAAAGAGCGCGGGAAGCCCCAGCAGACGATAGCCACTCCAATCCCTTCAGCTCTAAGACGACAGTACGACGGGAGCTATACGTGATAGTTTGTTCAGTCACACGTTTATGTTTCGCCACGTGATCACGCTGCCACCAGTACCCACGCCCGAATGAGCGGTGTATGGGCGATTCAAGGGAGGAGCTCCTGATCGAGTCGGCGACCGCGTAGATCCCGCCGCACCGTAAGTTTAGAGGCGCATGGAATATGGAGGTTCCAGAAACGACACAGGAAGGTTGCGATGACGCCACAAAGATGCAATATCACGAGGAAGGACACGAACAACCGATTTTCAACGATACAAGGTTCTGCTGCTTGGTTTTGTTGGCTACAACAGCAGTCAGTACGGATGCTAGTCGCGCTTGGGCGTAGAACAAAAACTTTTACATCCTTAAGTTGGAGCAAGATCGCCGCACTCTAAAAGTAAGTGCACGACAGATTCTACCCCTACACCCCGTTTCATTTAAGTTCGACCGCAGCCGACGCGACGACCTAACGGAGCCAGTCAGGCAGCTGCAAAAGTGAAAGGTCATGGCGCTGGCTGTTTTTTTGTGGGTTTTCTAACACCAACTAAACCAATCACGCAAACACAAAAAAAAAAACCCAGGATTGGGGCTCACTGTACGTGAATGATGTATAGTTGATGATAGTACACCCACAATTATTATTTTGTATATTTATCAATGGCATTTGTTAGAGTTTCGTGTTAAATTATTTGAAAACGATTGTGTAGTATTGACGCGTATGCTTGTGCGTATCAGGACCATGTAGACGTACCGCAAACATTGTGTGACCGCTGGGAAATCAGCTTAAAAAAAATAAAATAATTATACGTGTTTTCACCCGGTACACCTTACCCAACTGCATATCAACTAAAAATGTAATACTTGAACGTGTAATTGTGTAATGCCCTCGGAGAAGAGCCTTTAGGGAAAAATAAATGTAATTAAATGAAATGTAGACAGCTATAAGCATAGAGTTATTATAATGTACGCTAGAGGTTCAAGTGGCGCTAGTGTGCTGACGCAAATTGAAGCAGACAGCAACCAGTCGAAAATTGACTTCCGGGAATGCATTTCTATGGAAAAAAGCGAGCGAATTTTCTCCCTGCCCTCGATCATAAGAGCAAATATTCCAAATAATTCGTACGTACTAGGTAGCTTGGAACATTTCTCAGTCAGGCCGACGAAAGGATTAGTCAGTTACGGCGTTTTTCTTTCGAATTCATCGCATTAAAACGGTGCTAAAACGGCTACGTACGTGTATTTATGTGCACTGAATAGAATAAAATCTATTCCGATTTTAAATAAGCAAGTACTGCTTATTCTTTCTGCCCTGAGCGAAGCTGCTTGTTCTACGCTCAAAATATCGCCTGCGCGCTCGATATCTTTGAGAACAAGTGCCCGATAAAAGCTGCCCGGCAGAGAAAGCAATACGAAGAGACACCTTTCATAGCCCACGGACTTTATTCTCTACGTTTTGAAGGTTTTTATCCGCTCATGCACGACGGGAGCATTTTCATATGGTGACAGGACTGGCATCGTATGTATAGACAAGCGTCACCGGAATGCTGGCGAGCCTTGAACACACTCTATATTCGTTTCGATTGTAATTTTTTTTTTTAATCGTCGCTTGTTTTTACACATCTGCTCGGAACACACGTTTGGGACTGAAATGTAGTGAAGCTAAAGATCGTTCACCGATGAAGAAAAAAGCGATAACTAAAGCAATTTCACTTATACAGTGTTAATCAAGGTACATGTTATTCGGTTCGACCCAAATAACCGAAGCGTTCCGTGTTATTTTCTGGCGAAGAGACAAAATGCACGCGCGTTTTCCCATAGCAATCCACAGGAGCACCGCAAAAGTAGACTGGTTGCTGTCTGCTTCAATTTGCGTCACGGAAGTCGCATAGACACTAGCGCCAGTTGAACCTCTAGCGTGCGTTATAGTAACTCTATAACATGATCATGATCGAAACATCACGTGCTTTCTATTTTCAACCACGGAGGGTTACTATACTTCACTTTTACGTGCTTATTTCAACCATATACCAATATATACCTTTGATTGAAAACGTTTCTCCCTATACCACCCCTAGGAGATTCTTTTAGGCTTCTGGTTGGCCAAGAGAGCATGTCAAGCCCACTTTCTACGTCTGGTGCACGCCCTGACTCTGCACGCGCCTCCCATTGACCAAACTTTCTGTATACATGGCTCTGAATCAGGGTAATTCCGGTCTTGGCATACTGCAGCGTTCGGCTGGCTCGCTTGCTCGCGTTGGTCAGCTTGAACTTGCTTCTACCTCATCTTTTTGTGTATCTACCCTTGGACTCCATAAGAACGCCCCCCAAACATCGCGACACGTCATTGTTTTTAAGGTGTACAGAAACTGGCTGCGCAAACCACAATTGTTGGTTTTCTATGAATTGCAGTAGCATTCGTCATGAGACTCACGACGCAGCTCACTGTGAATACTACAATGGAAATTTTGACTAAACACTTTATTTTTCGGCTGGTTTTGCATTGAATCATTGACGTCAGTGTGACTGCAGTGCGCCGTTTGGAAATTGAGCGATTGTTTCGTCTTTGTGTAAAGGTTTAAGCTTTGGTCTCTGTGTGATCGTTTAATGTTCAAGCTGTTTCCCCAGCATCATTGCAGCCTCGTGTATCTTTCTTGCCCTGTCTATCTGTAATCGTTTAATGTTCAATCTAGTGCCACTAAAAAAAAAGTACGCTTCAGAGTAACAACACTTGGCCATATTGTGGCTTAAAATCATTGTTGCCAGTTATCTGAAGCTTTGTCTCAAATTCCAGGAAACGTTTTTCTGCCCTCCTCAAATGTTTTAACAGCTCGTGACAGAGCAAAGCAATATTACATGAGCTTCCTAACACCGAATCTAATGCAAAGGAAGGCGCACTTTTCAATCAAGAAAATCGGCAGTTGCGTCTGCTCTGCACAAGCACCAAGATGGTGGCGGCCTCATCAATGCCGGGGTAGAGTGGTCGGGGAACGGAGTGCCGATAATCTAAGCGCAGCTCATTTAGTGGCTCTGGTTCAAGCTGTTTCATCACCATCGTTCACCATGCACCAGCAAGCTCAACTCAAACTGATAATTGCCTCTTAGCTTCGGTGAAAATGTGAATGTGTGCGTACTGCACGCATTCACATTGCTTGTCGTCCTCGACGTTGTCCTCTTGAACTACGTCCAGGACGACGTCGTGGAGAACCTCTAGGGCGATCTCAAGGACGACCTCCAAGACGACCTGAAGGAAGCCGTCGTCCTCGACATTGTCGTCGAGGAGAACCTCTAGGGCGATCGCAAGGACGACCTCCAAGACGACCTGAAGGACGCCGTCCAGGACGACATCAAAGACGACGTCTAGGAAGACGTCAAGGACGACGTCTAGTACGACCTCTAGGACAACCTCTCGGGAGATCTTAAGGACGATGTCTGAAACGACCTCTGGGACGACCTCTGGGCCGATCTCAAGGACGACCTCGAGGACGACCTCTAGGACGACCTGAAAGATGACGTCTATAATGTCCTTTAGGGCGATCTTGAGGACGACCTCAAGGATGGCCTCAAAACGATGTCTAGACCGACCACTCGGACGACCTCTAAGACGACCTGTAGGATGACGCGAAGCGCCTGCGAATACGGGTGCCCTGCGTATCCGGAGGAGCCGCGCCGCCACGAGGCGCCTCCGCATATCGGCGGGGCATACGCGCGCCGCTCATAGGCACGGCGCTTTCAAGATCAAAACGCGTATCGCAAAAACCGGGTAAAGCAGCTAAAGAATGCTATCGCATTAAAAAGGGTGCATGGCATGATAATTATAATCACGTTTTTTTAAGAATTTGTAAGAACATCAATATTGACTACAGTTCTGTTTGTTTTTTTAATCATATTACTAAAACCCCCGTTTTTCGTTGGTCTTCGGCACCGGCCTAGATACTTGACCGTTTCATGACTCGTAGGCGCATACTCCTTGGACGCATATCTGAAAAAGAACTTCGATTTAACTTGCACAACTTAATTATTGACATCTATACTCACAATGACAGCCTTTAATTTTAACAAAGTCAAAGACAATGGTTAGCTTCTTACTTTTTTGTTTGTATATAATTTATATCCTCTAATGGGGGGTTCGATCTTTTCATTTCATGTTAAATTTTTTCTGAATTATTCAATGCAGAACGAACCACACCTTTAATAAAATATTGATGTTTTTTTTGGCATACTAAGACACCGGGTATCGTTGGCTTTACGCCAATTGCGCGGTCCAAATTCCTTTCCTTCCGAAATATCCGCTGAATTTCTTAAGTTTTACTCCAACTATTACCATCGGTCAATTCTTCCTCTAAGTCTAAGCTACCGTCGTTCTTCCGGAAAGTCCTACTTCGTTTTTGGCAATTATCGTGTTATGGCTTGGAACCGTTCTCAGCATACATTGTTAATGAAAGAAGCTCGAATGTGCTAATTCGAGCAGTCGCCCATAGGTTAATTGCTTACCCATGATGCGCATACACCTTTTTAATGCTAAATTGATTTCAGTGGGGGCGAAGTTAAGATTTGTGTCACGTCACCGAATCCCTACCTTATGCCGTCGTCACCTAATTCTTGTGGGCTAGCAACTCGTCAATTTTGGGTTGGACAGTTTCCTGATACACATCTATTGCGATAGCATTTTTCCACTACATTTTATATTTTATTTCTGCGTCGCGATACAATGTGTCCACCTCTATTTTGTATGTCTCCATTAAAATACATATTCGGGTGTATTCCTGGTATCACGATACTATGAAGTTCCGACCATTTCCCTATAAACAGATGCTCAAGCAAAGCCTAGGGTCTCAAACTAAACCTTAATTTCAAGCAGACCGCCTTACGCATGTTAACCACTCGTTTCGTTTCGCTCCACTCCGCAAAATAAAAAAAATAAAAATTAGGGAATTTCAGGCTCTCTTATTCTCCGACGTTGAACGCAGCGAACGCAGCGTAGCGCAGAACGTGGATCTTTGATTGGCCGGCGAGCTGTAACTCGATATTTGTGACCAATCAGTAGCTGTGTGCTCTGCGCTACGCCGTGTTTGCTACGCTCGACGTTGGATTATAACAGAGCCTTTAGGAGACCGTATTTCAGAGCTACGCTTTGCTAGAAGAAGCTCGTGCCGTCACTTCATAGAATGGATTAAGCCTGCGCCCGCTGGGCGCGCTTTCCGCGGTGTACGTTCTACTCAGAGAGTTTTAGCAGATCGTACGCAGTCGAGAGCGGGTCCAGCGGAGCTCTAGCGCTCGGTCAACTATAATTTGTTCACCCTTAAGCTGAGACAAGAAGCTCTCTCGGATTACGTCTCTCGGATTACGGAGAGACAGACTGAGTTGTCTGCATATGAATGTGCAGTCTGTAAATAGCAAGTTAACAGAACTTGAAAGTTTCTTTGCTGATGCCGATAAGCATTGGGATGTTATTATGTTGTCTGAAACATGGTATTCAAACGATGTTGCCATCTTTCAGTTGCCTCAAAAAAGAACATACTATCTTAATAGAACTTCACGACGTGGGGGTGGGGTTTCACTGCTCATAAATGATTCAATGTCATGTGAATTGCAGAAACAGTTTTCTGCTTCAACCGACGATTATGGAGTGTTGTGTGCCGAGACACGGGATATAATTTTTCCGGTGTGCTATCGGCCACCAGATGGTGCTTTGAATGTTTTTCTTATATTCCTAGAAAATATGTTGGCCTGTGCAAGTACCGCAGACAAAATGTCATAATAGGTGGTGATTTTAATATCGATATGAATTCTGATAGCGCGAGGAAAAAAAATTTTGAGAGAGTGTTCCTTTCGAATGGGTGTACGAATGCTATTGAGTCATGTACAAGGCTTACTGAAACGACGCAAACAACTCTTGATCTTTTCTTAACAAGCTATGATCCATCGTGTATGATTAGTGGAGTTTTGAGTTGTCCAATTAGTGACCATATGCCTGTTTGTTTGTCCGTTCGAACAACCCCCTTTGAAAAGGAAAAAAAGCTAATACTAACGTAACATTCCAGCTTATTAACGAAAAGACCTTAAGCGAGTTTCAGAAAGAGCTTAAGGATATGTGCTGGGACGAAGTTTTTCAACAAGGAGATGCCAATATAGCTTATAATATTTTCCTCAGCATATTTGTTGCAGCATATAAGAAGCACTTTATCAATAAGGAGCGCAAATTCAATAAGAAATTTCGGAAACCTTGGTTAACAAAAAAGCTCTTAAGGAAAATTAAGAAGCGGGAGAGGCTTTATCTAACATTTATTAGGAAAAGGATCCCTTCAGACTTGGAAACGTTTAAGGTCTATCGTAATAAACTAACTAAACAGTTAAGGAATGCCAAGGAAGCTTACTACATGAACCTCTTTGCTAGCTGTGCAGGGGACACAGATAAGCTATGGAGCAAGCTAAGTGTAGTCATGAAACGAAAACAGAATGTTGAAACAATAGAAACAACTTCTCTCAATGGACGCGTACTGACAGGAGTTGAACTAGTGAATGCGTTTAACCACTATTTTGTTCACAGAGAACCTGAACTGTGTTCAAATGAGTCTTGTAGTTACTCCCTGTCCGGAAACGAAAGCAGTATTTTTTTACATGCAACCGACAGTGTAGAGGTATGTTCAACCTTTCTTGGACTCAAGAACTCTTGCAGCCGTGATGCTGACGGTATTCAGATAAGACCTGTCAAGTACGTAATTAATGAAATCGTCCATGTCTTGGTTCATATATACAACTTATGTATTTCCACGGGAACCTTTCCAGACAAAATGAAAGTTGCCAAAGTTACAGCACTATATAAAAAAGGTGATAGGTTAGACATAAAGAACTATCGCCCAATTTCTATCCTTCCAATTTTCTCGAAATGCTGAGAAAAAGTTATTTTAAATCAAATATCGTCATTTTGTGCAAAATACCAGCTAATAACTAAAGCTCAGTATGGATTCCAAAAAAATAAGTCTGTGGAGCTGGCTTTTCTTGAGCAAAAAGAATATATTTTACAAAACTTCGAGCAGAAGCTTCTGACTTTGGGCATTTTTGTTGATTTTACCCAGGCCTTTGATCATATCGATCACAATATTCTAGTTAAAAAGCTTGAGCGGTATGGCATAAGGGGTCTGACACTTGAGTTCATAAAATCCTATCTCGGCAGAAGGCGACAATTCGTTTTTCTGAATGGCTTAACATCTAAAAGCAAAGAAATAATCTCTGGTGTGCCTCAGGGTAGCATTCTTGGCCCGTTGCTTTTTAACTTATACGTCAATGATATCGCACATATATGTCAACAGGCGAAGTTTATAATCTATGCGGACGATACTAGCATATTTCTATCGTCCAGCTCCAACGCCGAGATAACCAATATGGCAAATGATGTTCTACGTAAATTAAGCTCTTGGTCAAAACAGAACCGTCTAAAAGTTAATTCTAATAAAACTAAAGCCGTTTTCTTCTGTACAAGAGGAACGCCTATTCCATTGCATCATAACATAGCGTTTAATCACACAAACATCAAAGTTTTGGACACTATAAAAGTGCCTGGCACGTACTTCTCCAGTAACATGCAATGGGACGAGCATGTTAACTTTGTACTCCTCAAACTTAGTCAAATAGCTGGTATACTGAATCGAAATAGGTATATTCTTCCGGAATCAGTTAAAGTATTAATCTACAATACGCTATTTGTATCTCATATTAACTATTGCCATCTTGTATGGGGCACAACAACAGAATCTAACCTCCATAAATTACACTTAATGCAAAAGAGAATGATACGCGTTATTGCCAATGTCTCATACACCGAACATACTGACTACCCTTTCAAGAAATAATACATTCTAAAAGTTCATGACATATACCGAAGGAGGCTTATGCGAGATTTTTTATTATAGCATTAGGAAAAATACCTCTACACTCTTAGAAATAGGAAACTTAGAAAAAAGGCAACCTTCGCATAAAACACGAACTCCAGAACCATGGGTAGTTCCTCGTTCTCGGACAAATTATGGTGACCAAATGCTTAAGAATACTTTGCCTCGACTACTAAATTCATTTGAGGCGGCTGGCACCGATATATCCTCCATAACCCCTTCTGAACTGAGATATCTTTTATGTTCATTTTCTGATACCGGTGCCCTTAGAAGTGCCTGAGATGAAAACGAGCTATTTCCTAGAATTGTTTTGTGTTCCTTACCCAACCTAATCATGTTAAATTGCAACTGTATACTAATGTGTGGAGCTGTATCGAATGAGTGAATCTGATTGACCAGGAAGTGTTTTGTTACTGTGTGTGAGTGTTTTGTGAGTCCAATGCTGCCATCATTTAAAGGGGGCCGAGGGTCCCACAAGCTGCGTTTGTAGCTTTTTTCCTCGGCCTCCTCCATTCTGCATGAAATGGAAACCAATAAAGAAAGAAACAAAGAAAGAAAGCTCTGCCTTCAGCATGAGCTCGCTGGCTTTCGCAGTTCTTTGGTTGCGGGATCCTGCGCGTTCAAACTTGCGTTAGCAAAGTCATAAAGCTCACGTTCAAGGCGGACATTCGAGTATCAACTTAACGGTGAACGGAATATAAAAGTCTGTAAACTAGAGTTTTAGTAGATTGAACGCTGTGAAAAGCGCGCATGCTTCGAAGTAAAGGCATGAGCTCCCGCTATAAGAGTGTAGTACGTCTATACTCCGTACATCCTTAAGCTGAGACGGCAGGCAATTCCACTACCACGAGAGCTCGAGGTCGGTGTTTTGAAGCCTTCTTCCGGAGAAGAAGCGCTCGCTCTATAAATGCATGTATCAAATAAAGTAAGGAGCACGGGCTATCTCTCACTTGTACCTTTGGCTGCAGTCGCAGCTTAATTGCGAACGGAGTATGGAATACAGTCTTCTAAAAGTACCTAATCTCAGGTTCGAGCTTCCGTCAAGCCTCGTCGAAACCGTCAGGGGTTATCCAGTCGACTCCTTCCCGCTCCCCAGCGTCCGCCGCTGCACCGACGCTTCCGAATTCAACTAGCGTTGCCAGGTTGACTTCAGCAGTCGGTATTCGGAGTATGGTGTCAGCTGTTTCTGGCTTCAGACTCTACGTTAATGTGTGAATTCACTCAGCTGACACTTCGTTGCCATGGTGACGCTGACCATAGCAGACGGACTTGATGATGCGAAGGACACGGTGGGGTTTCGAGGTGAGGTGAGTGCAGGGTCTTCCACCGAGCTTTTCAAGGGCGCAACGTGAACAAAAATAGTTTTAAAAAAATGACTTAACCCGGACGGATGATTTTTTCTAGCCTCTAATGTCTTGACCAGTTTTAAACAACGACAACAACAACAACGACAACGATAACGACAACGACAATGACAACGACAATGACAACAACAACAACAACAACAACAACAACGACAACCACGACGACGACGACGTATTTTTATCTTGCAATTTGGAAAGGAAGTTTTTCAACTTCAACGTGGGGTTGAATTACCAATGTGCCCAATTTTCAGTCTTTCTATCGCTTGCCTTGGTTCTACTTCTATAGAAACTTTCGACAGTACTTGAAAATTTACGTATGCTATGACTCCGTGAGCTATTTTGATGAAGGGTCGAAAGGCATGTGACGGCAAAAGGGCTCTCAGATGATGCATTTTTACGTACTTCCCTCAGGCGTTCCGATTGGCCCACTGCGGTCAATCATTTGACTCTTTATCGTGTTTTGACGAAAATACATAGTTGAAGTTTGAACATACCATGGGGGGGGGGGGGGGGGGGGGGGTACACTCGCTAAACTCAGACAGATGTGGATATAAGCAATTCATGTTTGTATAACCTCTGGGAGACTAACTGTACCTCTAAAAGCTTGGCAGACCCAGCAGGAGAGTAATTGCTATTTTAAGCATATGCTTTAAATGTTTAAACGAAATCTGTTTAAGGGCTTGGATCTGCGTAGAAAGCGTGAATAAAAACTATTGAAACCGCCACAAAAAAAAATGTTGCATGAAATTCAGGAGAAATTAATTTTCTCCTGAAATTAATATGACTATTTATTCTTTTGAATTAATATCTTCTGAAATTAAAACAAAGATGCAAAGAAATGTTGATAGGAAAGAAAACATACCCAAACATCCCCTGACGAGAATCGAACCCAAGACACGAAAATTTCATACCGCGTGACGATATCACAATAGAAACTCAACTTACAATAGAAATGTACTGCAGGTTCTTGCAGGGCAGCACGCCAAGGGTCGGAAGAGAGTGAGTAACCGCGTGACGATATCACACAACAGTCTCGCGTGATTTGATGTCACGGAAAATATTCGGAAAAGCCCCGGAAGAGTGAGGAAGCGAGAAACTCAACACGTTCTGTGGATATCGACTTCATTCGTAGGATCAAGGTAAATCAAGCATATAGGTTTGTAGTAGGAATTTAGGTCTTTGCATGCAGCGACAAATGCGCCATTGCAATAGGGGCATGCTTCGTGCAGTACTTGACAAATATGATGGTGCATGTCTCAGCTAAGATAGGAAGACGCCGAGTTTATTTTCGTTTCAAATAAAATTACACTTTCCGTGGCATTCCATACAGACATTAACACGAACTTCGCTTCAGGGTGGCCAGATGAAAGCGCAAAGTTTCAGGGCCGTGATTAAAATTCCGAATTTAATGGTAGGGCATAAAATAAATAAAGTTTGGCTTTTTAACTTACCCCGCCTTCATTGCTGCATGGTTCTCTGCTTGTTAGCATTACTGTAGAAGACCCTCCAAAAATAATCCAGAATGCACTGATCGAGCAGGAAACCTGGCAGATTGAAAAGTCAACTGCAGCCTACAAAGAAAAATGTTCTACAGCTTACAAAGGACACAATATATGAAATCGATTGTTTAGTCTTTATTAAATTGTTGTTTTTTATACTCACAATAACCCTCGTCTTATGTTCCTTTTTACAAAGCTGCTTCAATTTTTCAAGGAATTCTCCTTTATTCCCCACAAAGTCTGGAAGGTCTTCCTCTTCCACAGCACCGTTTACCACGTCAGCTGAAACAAACACAACAACAATGCAGCGACAAATGCACGTCATGTGCATTTAATAAGGATTACGTCTTAAGGTGGTAGGCCACTCAAAAACAAAATTTTTTTTTAAGAGCAGCCAGCGTTGAAATAACTTTTTCCTCAAAACAAGCATGTCTTATTTAACTTACCCAGCCATTTACAGTGCAAAATATTGAATATTTATTTATTGGTAGGTAATCTTTGTCAAAAATTGCATTAAAAGTGCTAGCCACGCCAGCTGTGATAAGTGCCTAATGGGTGGCTTTATTCAGTAAAGCTTTGTCATTTGTGTAACTAATGGCTGGAGCTATGCAGTGAACTAGAATGAATATTATGCAGTAAATATCAAGGAAGTAATGTTAAAAAAAAACAAGAAAACGGAGAAAAAGAGCCAATTTAGACTGAACCTGTTTGAGAATTCAGCTGTGAATTGAAAAATACTTTATGGATTTCTTTTATTCTAGTTCACTGCACAGATATATATGTTGTAAATCATTGTGCAAAATTTCAGTTCAAAGTATACGCTGAGAAATAAGTTATGAAAGTTTGCGTCGCAACATTTGGAGCAAATTGTTATTTTCAGAAAAACGTAAACAAAGATTTCCGAGCTTGTAAAAAGTGTCACAATCTTCGCATGCAGTCCTAAAATGCACCAGATTCATAGCTGGGCCCTTCTGCGGAAGCATTATAGTCTCCTTTTCTTCGGGTGGCTGCTCGTCTTTTCTTCCTGGCCTGTTTTGTCCCATCCGCTGACTTGCGTTTAGCATTCTGCATGCGCTGGTGATCCTTGGCGATGCAAGCTTTCGTCGTGTAGTACCCTGGTTCTATGCCAGCTTGCCTCAGGATATTTAGGGTGCTTACACTGCCATTATTAAAGTGTGCCACAGCATCATGCAAGGCAAACATTACTGTAGGCAAGCTTACGTAGACCTCTTTGGGTGCCTGCTGCCATATTAGACCATTGAAACACTCATTAGCATTTTGCGTCTTTCCATGCAGGCACTTCATTAGAAGTTCATCACAGCACAGATCACTGTAGACAGTTTTAACTTTGTTGAGCGCATCATCTGGAAGTCCTCTTTTGTGTACACTTTTCCCTTGGCCGAGTGCTTCGACCCTTTGGTATCCGCACCAGCTTTTCGGTCCAAGTGGAAACAGACCATGTCTCGGCTGCTTGTCGGTAGAGCTGCAATGAAAAAGACTGGCAAGGGTAGCCTTTTTCATTGCAGAAAGGTTCCCCACATTAGCCCTTATGGCGATGCCATAGTAGTTTTGCAGGCGGTCAATGAGGGCATCAGTGAGCTTTCCCTTACCACCGAGTCCACGCACTGTCTTCTTCAGTTTTCTGAGGCGGCAGCCAACACGCTTCTGGACATGCCCAATGCATTCCAGTTTCTGCACACTGTCCTTTCCATACATGTCTTTCACAGCGGCATAGCTCTTGGAATCACCATCGCCGTAGTACTGCAGGTACTTCAAATCCCTTTCGCCTTTGCCTTCAAATCCCTTTAGCGAAACCACAGTTGGAAATGTGGTTTCGGTTTCGCTATAGGAGCATAGGGTATAGAAAACTTGCTGTAACTCGCAAACTAATGACGATAGGAGGATAATTTTTGTTGCAACATATATGTGAATGTTTGGGCGTGGAAAAAAAACAAAAACCTGAAAATTGATCTCGCGAAAAAAAAAAGACTTTTGAAGGTGGCCTACCACCTTAAACCACGGTGACCAATTAGAATCAGTGAGTGAGAACATTATCGGCTGAATCGAGTGGTATACTAAGCACATTTCCAATCTGCATGGATATTTGACGACGGTAGAAAATATAGGGTGTTTGAAACGCCGAGACGTCTTGTGTCCCATCCAATTTTTCGTCCGTTCTCTCCGTTTTTGTTTTGTTTTGTTTTTTTATCTCTTACATCAAACAGCTCACCTGCCTACTCACTCTATCCTTGTTCTATAGTCGGCCGTAAAAATCGGCGACTGCGCGTAGCAATTTAGACCTTTCATCAAAGGCCTATTTCACAGGTGGATTTTACCTCGTAAAATTGCAGGGCGTACATCCCTTTCTGTAAAAGATAGAGCCAAAACACTTGCCAGGGTCAACAGCGGGTGGCGACGCAAACGACCAGGTCGTGTGGCGGGGTGCGTTTGGCGCACGAATTGATAGATGCCTTGAAAGCAGCGTCTAAGATGCAGCTGACCAGCTAAGGAAAACAGGCGACATGCAGACGACATCCGTCGGTACCAAGTGCGCGGTCGTTATGCGCAACCATGTTTTATTTTTGTTACTTGAAGTTTTCGGATTATTGCTCGCATTTACTTTGAAATCAAAGGTGCATTACAAAGAGATTATGTTCATTTGAATAGACCACGGTCTTCGCCGGCAGTGCGAATATATATTTTTTAAAGTAATCCGGAACCAGAGCTGTTTATGTAGAGCTTGGCCATTATGTGGGGAGAATGGGGCGAAAATAAGGGCACGCCATTGGCTGAAATTGTTACAATGACCTTGGGCGTGATGATTGACAGCTTTTGTGAACAACACGAAGCCACAAATATTCTCCTAGTGGAGGCAATGACCTTAACAAATAACCTCCAGTCACGATTTCCAGCTAAGGATGTATTCAAGTATTTTAATTAGGCACGCCAGAGTTAAATTCGCGACTCTTCGTAACTGAAAGGGCAACGCACGTGAGTGTATCGTCGCGGCGACATTCAGAACGCACTCAATCTTTCTTTTGATTGTTGTAAGAAACGTTTATTGACATATTTACAAATTGAGTGGCGCGCAGGCCACACTGAGAGACCCTACATTATACTTATATAAACACGGATGTGGGGCGCAGTATGACCCTGCTCTACTCACTATGAAAAACCTATATTGCCTTCGTCGCAGGAATTCCTGCTCTCCAAACTTCCACAGTTCATTCTCTTTGTAGTCCAGTATCTACTCGCGCAACGTGGAAAGCATTGGGAACATGGGCCTAAAACGGCGACGCTGAATCTTGGCCCTACATCTGTACTTCCACAGGACCTAGCGTACTAGTATCACAACTAGTTTCTCAAAGCGATTGTGTGTACGCGTTTGGAAATGGGTGCACATCCCAAAGAGTCCAGACACAAGAGTGAAGAATGTACACGCAAGTACACAAGTGGTGAAAACGTGCTCATTCGTCTCTGGGCAAGTACAGTGGGGGCATATGTCCGTCGCGGTAACGCCCAATGTTACAACCTGTTTCTGGTGGGCAACATTCCATACCCATACTTCCAGCCAATGTCGCCAGCGGCGGCTGGTACGTCTGCAGTAAACATGCGATCTTAAATTACGTGGGAACTTATTGTTTGCTGTCGGAAAGATACGTCAGCCGCACAAAGTACTTCTCACATTCGCGACGCGGAAATCTCCTGAACGTGTACACTTCGTGCGACGCGACTGGCGCGCCGCCGCGCGGCCGTTACCGAAGGCTGGCAGTGAGAACCCCAGAGAAAACGAGACCGAAACCACGCCAGGTACTTTGGTACGCATTGAAGTCGGAGCGGTGCGGTTGCGCTGGGTTTTCACAGCATGAAGGGCTGCCGGTGCTGCGACGTTAAGTACTTCAACAGTTAAGGTACGTTTATACTCCAACGTAACGTCGACGGGCGCGGCGTAGCGCAGCGCGCTCAGATACTGATTGGTCGCAGATATCGAGTTCCTGGTTGCCGGCCAATGAAAGGCGCGCGTTCTGCGCTACGCTGCGTTCACTGCGCTCAACGTCGGAGTATAAACAGCCCTTAATGCGTCGTATCTTGTGGGGAACTAAGTTTCACAGTTTTTCACCACGCCGATGTTTTGTGGGACAGCGATAACGATACACCCGTGCCACACTACGCGAGAAATTTAGTCTCCCGATCACATCTGCCACTGTGTCGGCACGGCTGACATATTCTACACTGCCGCTTTGCGCTCCGCGTTTGTTTTCGTACCAGTGACGCCTACATGTGTTAGCGTCGATGTGACGAACTGAAATGCCATCCCACACTCGCGGGTATCAGTGCCAATTTCGTTGGAGCAATGCCCTCCAAAGAAGTTTCGTCCCCATCGTACGTGTCGATGATATTTCCGGAGAAATATGGCACGCAATCTGTATTTCATGTAGAAAGACTTGAACGGTAAAACAAAAGTGGCACATATGAATCTAAGGAAAACTACAATAGAACTCGGAATCACTGGAGAATGGACGATTGAGTATGGAAGTTTATGTGGTGTGCTTTCTTTTTTGATCAGCCTCCTTTTGGATCTGGAAACGCTGACTCTCCGAGTTCTGTGGACAACAATTTTTTTTTCTCGGCTTTAGAGCCACCTGTCACAAAGTTGTTTGAACTGGAAGTACTGTCAACTGGTCCCTTCCTACCTGTAAAGTGTGCACCTCCCACGATGAGTTCTATTATCTTCACAGCCATTGACGGTCAAAACTGGTTCCCATTTAGTCACGCCGCCCAAAACTAAGTTTCCACTTGGCTTCGCTATGCCACCTCTTTTTTGTATAATAAGTGTTCTGTCAAGTTACGGTCATGTCAAAGTACCTTTGTGCCGAAAATCAGCACCTCGCGCAACAGGTTATTACACAACAGCTGACCGCAAAAGCCTTTGACAGCCGAACCGTGAGTTGGCCGACGACTTTGTTTTCTTGGCTTTAGAACCACCTTTCGTAAAGTTGTTTCAATTGGTAGAACAGTCGACTAGTCGCTTCCTACCTATAAAATCTCCACCTCCCATGACGAGTGGTTTTCTCTTGACAGCCCTTTCGTGGTCAAAACCGGTTACCATTGAGTTACGCCGCCCAAACCAAATTTCCACCTGGTTTCCCTCTGCCACCTCTTTTTGGTATAATGAGTGCTGCATCATGTTACTGTCAAGTCCAAGCACCAGTGTGCCGAAATCTGCACTTCGCACAGCCCGGTTATAACACAACATTTTGGGTCCACTATTGGACCCAAAA